ACAGTGGTTTGCTCTGTCAATGTTGATGGGAGTGGTTTTTTTTGGGGGGGTTATTCCTTGATTGTGTACTGTTTTATTTTTTTGTCTGAATTGATAGTTCTTTGACTGCTTGATCTCATATTCTGGTGTTAATCCCTGTTTATCCACTAAATCAGTTTGGAGGCAAGTTAAGATTAGAGGCACCACCACTGGATTTGCCATTACCCTTGCCATTGGCATCAGAAGATTAAGTCTGTGTGGAAGTGGAATGGAAGAGGATGGACTCTGCTGGCATCAGTTCTGTGCTGTCAGAAATACCAGAACTCTTGAATGTGTGACATGTTTTTATGCCAAAGACACTCAGAGTGGAATAATTTCTTTCACACTTTATTTTTTTCCTGGGTTAGTTCATGATTTACTAATGACTGCTGCATACTTTCTCCAGTGACAGCTCTGTGATCCTCTACAGTCCACATCTTGTGGTTTAAGAGTACTGTAGAGCAGAGGTCTCCAACCTTGGCAACTGTAGAGAGAAGATTGCCTCCCCTAGTGGTGAAAACTTAGTAGAGAACTTAGGTTTTCCTCCCTTCATGGCATTACAGTGATTTAAAAAGGAGCCTGGGTGGAGACATTAAAATGATGTTAGAAAGTAAGAAGTAACAGACAAAAATATACGTACATGGATTTGGTTGGAGGATTGTAAGGGTGTATGATGTATCGAGAGAGGGAACTGTGTGGAGTAGCCCTGATCAGTTTGCTGACTGGGGTGCCTGGAAGAGGAAGTCACTTGGCTATTAGTGACTCTCATAGAGTTTTCTTGGCTGCAGTCAGATGGTAAGTTATATACATAGAGGTCTTAAGATGGGGGAAATGGGAATTCATTTATGAGAGAATGGGAAAATATAGCTGAAAAAAATATCTTGAAAGACCTGCAGTTTGTTACCTGTCTCCACTTCTGGCCACCTGCCTCACTCCTGTTGGCAGACTGGATCTTTAAAGCTATATGTAGCTTGTATTTCAGACATTTTCAGGGCCAGCACCACCAGGTATAAGTTTCTACAGGATACAGACCATTTTTTTAATGATGGTCTCCACACTGTGGAATAGCCTCATACCAGTATCAAGCTGCCATTTTTCTGGAATGCAATAAACTTTGGTAGGAGGCCTTTGAATTGTAATTTCCTGCTGTGTAAATTAGGGTTAGTGCCATGACTATAATTGCTTCTGTTCTATTAGTTAGTTAATAGTTCTTATTTTTATCAATTTTATGTTTAAATTTGATTTTATTGTGTTTTGAGTTTTATTTGTACAGCATAGTACCACTGGTAAGTTTGATTTAATGGTAAGTAAATATAATAAATAAAAGGGTTCAAAGAATTCTAGAACCCATTACATCCGAAGCTTTCCCTACTTTTTAAAAGCATTTTTTCTCTTCTCCAATTCCTGCATTTAGGCTCTCTTTGGTTCAGAGCTGTCCAGTCACATCAGGTTCTCTATTCATTGACCTTTATCCTTGCACTTTACTACAATGTTTATTGCAATAAATATTCTACAATTCTATTGTATAGTAATATTCCCTGCAGAATATTGCCTTCTCTGTCAATGGTGACAGCATAGTAAATTCCAGGATCTGGTCTTGTAAAACAGGGGTCCCCAACCACCGGGCCGCGGACCGGTACCGGTCCGTGGAGCACTCTGTACCGGGCCGCAAAGAAAAAAAAATAAAAAAAATGGCGGCTTTCTTCGCCTTCGGTGAATGCTGCTGGGATCAGGGATCAATGACACAAATGAAAGAAGGGGAGGGAGGAAGCAACCAAAGCCTGTCCTGCTCTCCGGCTCAGCGGCTTCGGTTTCCTTCCGCCTCGTTCCTCTCTCAGTCGCTCTCTCGCTCCTCCACCAGCCCAGGAAGAAACTGCTTCAAAGAAGCCGGGGGGGGGAGGGTGGCTTTTCCTGTCGCCGCAGCTCCTCCGAAGCGCCCGTTCACCCCCACCCCGCCCGCCCGCGCGCGGTTCAATCCAGTGCTCCGTTCTGCCTGCCTGCCTGCCTTTGTTTCTGGTTGATTCGGAGAAGCTTCGGCTGATAAAAAGAGGCGAATAGTTATTATTCTCAGCCGAAGCTTCTCCTAAACAACCAGAAACCAAGGCAGGCAGGCAGGCAGGCAGAACGGAGCACTGGATTGAACCGGGCGTGGGCGGGCGGGGTGGGGGTGAACGGGCGCTTCGGAGGAGGTGCGGCGACAGGAAACCCCCCCCCCGGCTTCTTTGAAGCAGTTTCTTCCTGGGCTGGATGTTAGAGGTCCATCGTAGCTCTGATCCCTAAACAAGGACTACAGGAGCTTCCTAGGGAAAACACACTGA